GGAGCTCGTGCACGGAGAACCTCCTCCAATGGCCCGCAGTGCTTGACACACTGGACAACAGTCTCTTCAGCTGTAATGCCGTCCTGTCCCAGATTCATCCTCCAACAGCTGCTCGCGCACTCACAAGTTTGGCCCCTGGCGTCTAATCCTCATACGCAGAAGCAAGCTGACGGGCACTGGGGGCAAATTCTGAAGTACAGGAAGTACCGTGCGGACGCACAGGCAGACCACAACAGCCCTGTCGAAACTCAGACCGTGATTATCCGTTAAACGGTGGCCGTTGCAAAATCAACAAGAGAACGCCTGCGTTCCACAGGGCGCGTTGGAACATCGATAGTGCTCAGAGCAGGCAGGCCCGGTCCAAACACGATTGATTGCTGTCTGAGAGTCGCGCTGCGGCAGTCGCCCCTTCCTGGGTACCTGGTGCATCGCCAGCGTGGGCATCTAGTATCCTTCATGAGATACAACCATTAATCCCGAACCTCATCTGCAGACGAAGAGAGATTGCAGGACACTGTGTTCAGTTCTATCTCGCCAGGCGTAATTGAGATACTGGTGCCATGTTTTCACACTCGCCGCCAAATTGAGACGCGACCGGGCGTGGGTTGGGGAACGGGTTTGAGCTTGCCAATTCCGTTTGTTGCAATTGACAGAGCAGCCACGGCAATCCAAGCCTTTGCGCCTCACAGACAACGAGGGGCACAAAGCACCCAATGCGTGGTTTTCAATCCACTTTCGTGATGACAATTGTCCTTCCAAGGAAGTGCTCAGCTTCTTTTTCCTTTTCCTGGGCGCAAGTCGATTGAGGGGGCAATTGTACATAGTTATTTGCCCCAATTCGACATGCACCAGGACGTAGCCTATACCGCCATCATGTGTCAAAGCATTTGCCTCGAACGGGCATCTTGCAGGGGGCAATCTTCGATGAAAGGAAGGAATGTGTGTTCTGCCGTCACCACAGCCAGCGCAGTGAACACAACACGTGCGTGGATCTGGTTCATCGCTTCCTATTACCTGGGAGGCCTGTCGGCGATGGGACGCAAGATCAAGGCTCCGATCGATGCGGATGCCCACAAGGATTGTGATGAGATACGTGGATTGATGCTTGGGGAGGGGGGCTGATCCTCCAGATATAGTTGGCGTCCAGCGCAGCTTTCGATGCCACAGCGTTCTCAAGCCTTCGGATCCCACTCTCTGTATCGCGACTTCGTCGTTTATGGTGTTCCGAGGAGAATTGGCAGGAGGTGGAGCGCACTGTCCATTCACTATTGTGCATGGAAACGAAGTCTAGGCTCATTTTGAGCCGCAGCGCAGTCTTGACAGAAACTTTAGCTTGAGAAGAGCTTGCAATCGCGGCCCTCACGGCGCCCTTGAGCTTGAGAAATACCTGAGGCTCCAAACGACACAATGTCATATCGAAAAGCATTTCAAAGGGAGCCTGTTTTAAGGTTAGGGGCTTCGGATGACGCAACAAAACGGAACGCCGATGACCAGCAGAGCTTGGCGGCACCAATATGCGCCGCATATGAACCCTGGAAGCCAGGCAAAGGCACCGTTGGGCACGCTCAATGTGGATCTTACTATGGTTGCTTCAACTTGTTTCACACAAACAAATTGACACACCCCTGTTTGGGGCCACAATAGCTCTGTGTGCAAGGTTATTGAAAGCTGACGTTTGTGTCCGGATTTGAAATGCCGTTGGGGCAGGAGAGCTCTTGCACTCAAGTCCACCAACCGTCCGGCAAGCTCCAAGGCTGCATGTTCTCTTACGGGTGGTCTACAACTGGTGCAGATGCGTTGCTCGATCAACCACAGGCACAGTCTTCACAGCCCGGAGGCGCAGCGGTTCGTCTGCCCTTGAGCAGCTGGCATCAATTTTTTGTTGCAAAATGATTGGCAAGCCTTGTAAAGCAGGTTCCAGTGCACACTGAGCACTGCACACCAATGCATACTCGCATTTAGCCATATAAATACCCGCAGCCAGCCATTGGTCCCCAGGAGTGTATTATTTTCCAAGCAATGTACAGCTATTGTACAGCACGCTGGCGTTAAGCAAACCGTGCGGCGACCCCTGATTGATCCAACACAACTACTCCCACACTACGGAAATCCACTGTACAAAAACACCTCATGCGCCTATTTTTTTCCAAAATCGCAATGATTTCATTCATATTTCCGTCCACAATGCATCGTTTCCTTCCGTCCGTGTCTCCTCTTCAGGTCGTGCGTAGCCACATGGTAAGGCTTGGACAGGCATCCTTCGGACTGTGCTTCCATGAAACAGCCGATTGTCCTCGCTGCCAGTGACGGAAAATGCATTTCCACTGCCTATCCCCAGACCTCCCCAACCATCAATACCAGAAACGCTGCCCCTACACTACCAAAAGCAGCCATGGCCCGCAAGTGTGGCAGTTCACTCATCCATCCACCATCCTGTGTGGTTCAAGACGACGGCGACATTTGAATTGAGGTTGTGCCATTCACCAGCTGCCAATCTGGTCGCAATTATATTCACATGCTTGAGGCTATTCAGCTTGTTCAAGCCCTCGACACTGCTGTCGCTCACCATGTAGCAATACGCAATGTCAAGCTCTCTCAGATGCACCAAGCTCGCACAGAGTGCCGAAATGCCATGGTCTGTTATGTTAAGGCAGGAATGGAGGGACAGGAAACTAAGCATGGGAGTGCCAGACACCAGCATCCTCAGACCAAAATCGCTGATTCGTTCACAGAAAGCCAGGGACAGCCACTGCAAAGTGCTGAGCCTGGAGAGCCCTCCCAAGCCGGTGTCAGTGACCAAGGCGTAGCACCCAGTCAAGTCCAGAATCCTGAGTGGCACCCCAGACCTGGCGAGGGCCCCCAGCCCCAGGTCTGTGACCTGAATGCAATGAGACAGGTTGAGGGTCGTCAAGGACCGCAGCGTGGCAGCCGCAAACAACACCGTGTCATTGGCATGTTGGCAGCTCGACAGATCGACGTTCTGCAGGCAAGGCAGCTGGTGCACCACATGGGACAGCGCACCAGCCGTTGCCAACGACTGACTCAGACCCAGGGATGTCAGGTGCTTGAGCAGGAGCAGATGCTCCACATCAGCATCTGTGATGGGGCGGTGGGGTGTGTTGGGAAACTCAAGCAGGTCCTCCCCCAGTGGCGAAGGGTTGGATATGTGCAGAATTCTCAGATTCTCCAGACTTGATAGTCTGTCAATGCCCCTGCGGATGATGGAAACGAAATTCTCATGTTCACCTGTCTCGGAGTGAAGGAGTACAATAAAGAGCTCCTTACCACACATTTTGACTGCACAGGCCATATGAGCTCAACAAGCTACACAGGCGCTGTGCACCACTTGCATTCTGTTACCTTGCCATCATCTACTGACATGCAATACTATGTTGCCACTTTCCATGCTGATAATGGACCCACCCAATGAAAACTTTTCATTGAAAGGTGCCCTTAGAACTCGCCAACAGTCACACAATCATCTGGAGAATGGGGAGGGGAAACTGGCAACAATTCTCATGCCAATTACCCGCTTTACCTTTCCAACTTAAAAGAAGGCCAACTCCAACAGAGGATTTGTCAGCTAAGTGGCAGCACACTAGCGTAGCTGCTGTCCTATAGGGTACTGGATTATGGAATGGATGTCGATCGTGGCCTGCCAAAGTGAGATACGTCTATTGTTGGCATTTGCACAAGTGCTGTGCTAATCCCTGCAAAACTGCTACAAATAAAGCTACGAGAGTTGAGAGGCTGCCTCAGGTGGTTCCCCAGAGACATGATTCAAGAAACAAAAATAAATGACAACAGATGTCCAAGTTATTCAGGCTTGCAGGGCGCCTGTACGTGTGCCAAGGCATACTTCAAGAATGTGGGGTCAACTGTCACCATATCCATGCGTCACCACCAAGGGCATCATTGCACTATGTCCTTCTTTCATCCAACTGCATGCACGAGTCTTCTAAAAGGGGTAGTGTTCTCCGTCAAAGTACCAACGTTTGGGTCCTGCCTCATCGTGTGCATTGCCTCAGCACGTTTGGGGTGCAACGAATTGACCCAAACGTTCAGATTATCAGCAGCAGAATGCTGGTAAGAGCCTGCTTCACCTGTGTGGGTCATCAGCGAGCTGGGCCGTTATCCTCAGCTCCCGCAAGCCGGTCATCGCCGTCACGCACTCGAGTCCAACAGTGACCACCGACGCCAAATCCTCACAGTCCGTCAGGGCCACATCCAGCGAAGACATCCCCCCAATCCGTGCAATCTCCTCGAAGGTCTCCGCGGGCGCCCTGAGCGGCACGTGCAGCGCCAGGGACACCAGGCCCTGCAGCCCGGATACGCCCGTCATGTCCACCCTCGCCTGGTGCATGTACCCCTCTATCCTCAGGTACCGCAGCCGCCCCAGGCGCCCCAGCACGCTCCCTAGGCCGGGCTCCCACGCGTCGATCGAGCACCGGCTGAGTGTTAGCTCCTGCAGCCTGGCCAGCCCCTCCAGCCCCATGCCCGCGGTGCAGCGGCACTGCACCAGCGTCAGCCGCGCCAAAACCCGGCAGGCCGACAGGACGGCCAGGTCCACGCGGGGCAGCTCGCACATGCGGCCGGCGCTGTTGCTGAGCTCCAGGCTCCTCAGGCGGTGCAGCTCCGTGAGGCAGGCGATCGAGCCCAGCCGCCGCCCCACGCCGCAGAACGTCACCTTGATTCTGTCCAGTTCGGGGAACAGGCGGACCACGCTGGGCAGCGGGGGGCCCCGCGGCTGCAGGTGGCACACACGCGCCTCGAACTTGCTCAGCAGCCGGCGCGCCTTGTCCCTCCAGCCGGAGCAGACGCCCCGCAGGGGCGCCACTTGGCGGCAGTCCAGCTGGTCCAGCAGCGACTCGAACAGGTCGTCGATCAGGCCCGCCCAGGGCAGATCCTCCCCGACTGCAGGAATCGCCCCGACGCACGTAGTGCCCCCGTCACCGCGGCTCATCGGGCGTGCGTGAGAGGGCGATCGGCAGCGCACAGCGGCCCGCCACCGTCGCGCGGTCTTGCGCTCGGATTGCGGATTGCCCCGCCGAAAGGCGTGGCGTGCCCCAAGGACTGGGATTCCTTAGCGCGTGCCGCTGTCTGAACCGACTCCTGCGGGCCCTTAGGTGGAGGAGCAGGCCGCCGAAACCGTTTTCGGTGCAGCGCTTCCCCCCCGCCCGGCCCGTCGGGACCCCGGCACCAGTGCCTGACAACCCCGCGCCCCGCCGCTGTGCGGGACGCGCGCCGTTTAGTTCCTGGAGCTTCGGGCCACTAGGAGTATGGGTTGCTATTAGGAAGCGTCCATGTCAAGTCGCAACGGCTGCTGGAACTGGCAGCAGTTTGTGGCAACAAAGCAGCAACATCGCGGTAAATATAATCGGCAACAGCGTATACACAGTAACTTCTGTGTATATCAGTAACATCTGCTTGAAGCTACAGCAACGAAGTTTTAACAGTGCCATTGGTTGTCTCCCAACTGCACTTTGTGCTGCTATGTCTTAAGGAGCATCGGCCCTTTTAGCCACTGTACAATGAAGAACGAGCGCGCCGGCTGCCATTGAGGCGGCCGCCACATCGCATTTCACATTGGGCGCTCAGCAGAAGACCCACAACACAGGCGATCCACGTGGAAATACTCCATTTACTACTAGAATCTTTTCCAATCTGTTCAACTGGGTGCACAATGTCTTGCACGTTGCAAAACCTGCCGAGCAGCGCCACTAAAACCTTGAGCTCTCTCCCCACCCAACTCGTATCTGATCCATTCAGTTTCCTGGCCCTCCGTATCTCCCAATCCATAATTGAATGTCCATTGGTTTCGCCTATGAGAACTGCGTTGTGTGACAAGATCAGCATCCCGGCGACCATTCACAAATCAACTGTTAACGGCATTTGAAACCATCGTGGAAACGCTGACAACCTCGAGAAATTGTCGTGCACTAACTTAGTGCGCTTGAAGTGCAGACTTCAGGCTCACGTGCGGTTCCCGGAATACCCCACAGCCTGTGTGACACAGCATCTCGAAGAGCCCAGCTGTCGTCGTTTCCATGATAAATTGTTGCGAAAGCCACACTGCGCAGCGAACGCACTGACATGCAAATGGCATGCTCCGCTAAAAACGATGCTTGTGAGCAAATGGGAAATTGCACCCATACCGCAGCCACTCAGCACACTTGGCTGATATTTTGCCTGGGGTATTTCACGCGGGATTCACCGATTGCCGCATCAGCCTTTTCCCACTGCATTCTGCGGACAAGTGGGACGGGACGACACTATGAAATGCCCGAAGCGAGCAGTGCGAGCTACTTTCTTGACTTTGATCCCTTCAAAAATCTGTGCACCTGGGCATCTGACGCCTCAAAATGGCTCCAGTAGTATTCATTGGGTGGGTGGATCAACTGGAGAGTCTCGTCTTTTGGGCTGCCAGACAGAATCGATCGCCAGAAGGTGTCTGCGTTGGTCCCGCCGTCTTGGTAGTTTCCCCTTCGGTTCCTCTTCAACAAGTGTATCTCTAGAATGCCGTCTTCTGCAAGCCATACAGGTTTCCAACTGGCGCTGCGGCATCATGCAACATGAGCTCCCGTCTCTAGAGGGTCCCCCAAACGTTGAGACTTTTGACAAAGTGTAAAGATATCCAATTCAAACAGGCCAACCTGCATAATTTCTATCTATTCCATGCCGCAAAGGATCAATTGTCATATGTGCAGGAAAATTTGTGTCGGTGTCTCTAGCTTTGCAAGGGACGGACGTTCACATACTTGACAAGCAGCTCTTGAATCCCTGTACACCTGGTATTTCGCAAGAAATGACAGTTCTTAATCAAGAGTTACTGATGATTTATATGCCCGGATTGTATGTTTATATTGGCGGGCGGGTGCTGATAACCGGCTCCGTTGTCATTTGGGCAAGGCCGTGCTCATTATCATGCCGACTGAGATGGCCTCCTGTAATGCATTGACTGAATGCCATTGGGTATTTGAAGTTGAATAGTTGAGCACCGTGTCCAACACCAAATCGTGGCAATTTGCATCGATTTCATGCAACTGTACAGCTGGCACCCACCACTGAACCATGTGCTGTCTTCCACTTTGATTTCCTTGTGAAGCTTTCCTTGAAGCACCATTTGATCATCAAGGAATACTCGGATGCTTGCTGGGCTCAAATTGACGCAAACCTGCGCAAGAAAATGATGTGCACAAGAAGCAAATATTGTGTTGACGAACCTTCCCATTGGCACTGTAGAAAGGCTAGCATACACCTTAACGTTTCAGTATTTCTATCCAGCCATATTTGCTCCCATGCTGCATGTCGACTGACACCCATATGCTGCAATTTCAAGAATCTGCCTTTAGGTGCTTGTTTGCAGTCGAATTGTGTACCAAGTATAAGGGAACGCACGAAGCGAGCTGAGGTTTCGGACATCAACATTGGTCTGCTTAGGCGACAAACCAACTTCACGTCCATGGCAAAGGCCTGCAAAATGGATGCCTGAAATTTCAGATATCGAAGCTGCTGTTAAGCTTTTCGGTGAAAAAGACAAAACTGTAAGCACAGGGCTTGCCACTTTGGAGAATTTCAAAAGGATGAAGAAACAGAATTAAGAGCTCACGCAATACTGGCCAACCTATATAGCAGGTGGCGCCACGTATCACAGCAGCTTGGCCCACGCCCATGCTATCATAATGCTGGCATGGAACGCTGCCTACACCATTGGATACGGTGCACTTCTCCATCCGGCTGTGTTGAAATATAAAGCGACGCCTTCATCACATGCGATGTTGAATACAGAGCAAGCACTACTAAAAAAATTGGCCAAAATACACGGTTTTGAAAATATTGTACTGTGTGAATCGTGTAAATTTGTTGAAAGTCGTGTGAAAATAAAGTTAAATCGTATATTTGTTGTAGAAAAGATGGGATGCAGCCCTGTAGTAACGATTGAGTGAGTGTACATGACTTTTACGCGTTTTGGGCACGGTTTACATGGATTTTGTCACGGATCGAAACCTTGTATTTCGGCCGACTTTTTGCTCGCGGAATCCACAATTTCATTTGAGCACATGCTGTCCGTAATGTAGCGTGAATCGCGGCCCCAGATTTTTGTCCAGAAAAACCTGTCCCGCCCGAGCCGCAATGCTTGAAAGCAGGACATAATGATTTTAATGCAAGAATATCATGTTCGCTTCATTGACTAGTTTACCGGGGTTTTTGGGATGTCTTCTATCCAGGGATGTTGGCGCTGTGTTTTGAATGTCCTTTGCAAAGCGCCACTGTACCCCACATGTGGGGGTACGTGATGTACATCACATCAATGTAAACTTCGTCGGCACCGGAGATGGCAGCGCATCAGAAGATTCTATGACCATTTCACACTTCACCCTACTGGCATTCCCAGCACTCATACAATGTGCTGCTGGTAATTCATCCCAAGTCGCCAATAGGTTGATGTACCAAAGCTGTCATGTTCCGACGCTCACCAATTCCGCTGCCGCCCCTCACCTTGCTTGTTACCATTTTGTCCGGCATTCTTATGTATATCTCAACATGTGACTGATTTTGTTTCCATTTGTAGCTCCCGCAATCTAATCCAATGTAGCGAGGAATGTCTATTTGGTTCCATGCCCTGTCTTGGTTGGTGATGAATTTCGCCTGGATATTTGGACACCCAAACCACCTCGGTGATATCGTCTTTAAACAGATTTTCTGCAGATACGGCCAGAATATCGCAACCAGATGTGTAGAACATAGAGGGTATGATTTGATTATAAAAGCAATGGCTCAACATTTTGAAAATGGTACCTCTGTTCAAGACAAGGAACGTCCAAAGGAACGTAAATGCGACACGCGGAATGTCGCATGTCAAAATAAATCCCTGGCGAATGTTGCCAGCACCATTTGGTGCGATTTTCACCAGTAATCGCAGGAATATGGTTTACCTCAACACGGCTGATTCCAAGCTACATGATGCGCATTGCGCAATGGCACACTTTCAAGCATGTCAGTTTGGGGTTCTCTAGATACCAAGTGGAATTTCGTGCCGCTGCCTAATACTGGTGATCACAGCGAAACAGAAGTGCACGAATTACGGCGTTCCCCTTCAAATACGACAACCTCTCCGATTCTGTTCAGTTGTTGGCATGTTCGTTTCGAAACTGTGCGGTAACAGTTCCCTTCACCAATTACCACTGTACTTTCGCCAAAAGCGACCTATAGCGGCAGCGGAAGGCAAAATAGGGCTGCTAGGATGATGGCATGAAATGTATAGAATGATAACTTGCACAAGGCATTTCTATCCTGAGGTACGCGGCAGCATTTATTCGCATTGATAGATGCACTCAAATGGTCAAGTCGCGTGGTGTTTTCAAAGTTAAGCGGTCACCTGGCGATAGTCGGCCTCTTGCTGCATACGCATCTTTTTCCTTTCGTCAGCATCATAGCATGGGGCTGCGCTAACAGAACAACGGACATAGAGTTTTCTTAAATTCCAATCCCAAATTTGTGTGTGCTTGAGCGTGAACCAGACGTCTTCTGCATGGTAAGTACGTGAATACTGCAAGGTATCGATGGCATTGAACTCAATGCCATAGTTAAACGTAATTTTTGGGAGGCAGATTCGATCCAACTAAGATAATACCGTACATTGATCCAATACATCCATTATGCATCTGTCAACCCAACATCCGCATAAGATGACAGATTTTCATCTCAATGACAGTAGCTAACGCTTGGTTGCCCAGATGTTTTGGATTCGACATCATTTGCCTTCATATGTACTGTATAATCGTGTATGTATGTAGAATCATGAATCGATGTGATTCTGCCTGTCAACACTGAAAGTCTTGCTGGCGCTCTGGGGTTCTTGAACTCGTCCCACTCGCATAAAATACCAATGTTGCGGTACAAATTTTCATGCCATTTTGACACTAATTAGCATTACTACACTTATTGTGATGGCATGAAAAA